CGAGGGCAAAAGGGGGCACGAGGGCCAAGTGGCGAGCACCAAATCACTCTCCTCTACCCTGGGGCTCTCGCTGTCTCTCTGTCTCCTCTCCTCATCCCGCACTCCTCCCTCTCTCGTGAGTTTTTTCTAATAAGCCCATGCATGATGACTATTCAAGCATGAAAACATAGTTATCTGCAAATGAATGGCTGCTCTATGCTTCATTAAAGCCTCTTTCTCTGTTGGCACCCACATTGTGATCCTCCAATATTAATTCAAAGGACAATTAATGAATGCAGGCCAACTTTGAAGTAATGGGCTGGGGTCCTGCCCTGAGCCGGCCCCTCGGCGCTGATGTACTCTCCACATTCTCCCCACTAACCCCAGAGACACTGTGAAGTGACTGAAAAAGAAGCAATGAGCAATGGAAGGTCAAGGAGAGGAGCCCCAGTAGAAAAAGAACTCTCTATTTCCTTGGAAGTATTAGCCAAGCAAAACTCTGTGATGGGGAGGATAAAGGAGTGTGAAGAGAAAAGGGTCGGGGGCGAGGGGACTCTGCAAAGAGGAGCACAATGGGATAGTTAATTGAGTAAAGCCAGACAGCGTTGTCAATCACTTAACTTTGTTTAGCCTCAGTTTTTGTGGAGCTGTTTCGTCCAGCACATTGCACATTATGGACACGCCAGCACAACTCTGTTGCTGTTTTGATTAATGTCCTTTTTTACCTCTTTTAACAAAGAAATGAAAATAAAAAGAAATTTAGGATATGATTTTAAAAAAAAATGTGTTCCAAGTTACAGAATTTATTTCCTGCATTTGTCCAAACACAGGCATTAAAACAACAGCAGGAGTTGAAAATTTGCATGCAAAGCTTGTAAAAACAAAAGAAACACACCATTAATGAGTGTTTGTAGGGTTAGCGCAAAAGAAGGTGTGGAATGTTGAGTGAAGTTTTGTTGCAGGGTCAGCGGTGAGCCCGTCTTCGCTGCAGAGCTGCGCAGTAGCTGTGAAAAGGTCAGGGGCTAACCTAGGGTCACTTGACTGTTAAAACTATCAGGCCCCAGGAAAAGGAGGTTACAATAATGTTTGGGAAAAGATGACAACTGACCGACCGCCTGATACCAGATCGGTGAATCAGTGTTGATTAAATAACCTTCACCTTAAGGCTCCTCAACGTTGATCCGTCGTGTGCGTTCAAATGCTGGTTTTGTTGTTTACGGAGGGAGTGTTCTGGTTATTCTAAACGAGCTGATTGGTTCGGTTGTCTGTCTGGCCCAAACGAGGGCTGGGCTGAGGTGGACCTGGTTAGTCTCCATTTGACTGGAACGTGCGGCAGACTGGCTTGTTGCTTTGTCCCTGCGTGGGTTCTGTGCAGTTGCTTTGTCCCTGCCCCGAGGGTGGAAATGCCACCGTGAAACTGTCACCTAACTGCACCACGGTGGAACTAAATAATAACCACCACACACTGGGTACACATAATAGCCATGAAGGGCCATTTGTGGCTTTTTGTCACTTCACCAATATTAGACAGAGATACATCTTTCAAAGTCATATCGCCAGCTATTTCTTTGTCCGTTAAGTGCCAACCTCCTGCGCTTATTCGCTCCATTTTTTTTCCGTCCATCACATCATCATTTCCCTCTCTCTTTTTTCTCTATCTGCCCCCCTCTTTTCCCAGGCAGCTGCGGGTTCCTGGGGGCTCTTTAGCAAGTCAAGTGAGCAGCCCACTCACTCCCCATTTTTCCCTTAACTGTTAACCCCAGCTGAGCCCATACGCTGTCAGTTAACCATTCTTTTTCCTCCAGTGCATCTGCTCGCTCTGGCTCTATGTGGCATGCCACTATTTTATTCAGTGGCCCTACTCGCACTATGCTCTGTGGCCTGAAAGGGCCAGATCTACTTCCCTGGGCAAATAACTAGTTCATTTGTCTCTTCTGCCCTTTGTTTTGTGTTGCGAACACATGTCACCAGCTCAATTACCTTCTCTATTAACAGCCCCTGGAGGAAGGGTTAGCCAGCCCCTACCAAGACAAGACTATAAAATGCCCCATATGCTCCGCTTCTCTTTCTCTTTTTCACTGAGGCTCTTCATCCCATTCCCTTCCCTTCGTCCTTTCCCTTCCCTTTCTCTCTACTCCAGATTCCTTGCTTCTTTCCCTTCCACACTTTAATATCTATTTGGATTCTCTTCTTTAATTTTGTTGCCATTTAAGGCTGTGTGAATTTGTATTCACACGTGTTTGCATACATGGATGTGTGCGCCTGTGCATGTCTCTTCATATTAACATCTCATGAGTGGATGGGAGGGGGATGAATGCTTGGCAAGGGAAGCCCTGGCCGATGAAGACTATGCGGTAAACAAAAGCAGTCTTTATTCTCGCAGTTGGACTCCTCACTTGTTTTTTTTGTTTTTTTTTGCCTGTTGGAGGCACTGCTGCTGCAGGTGAAGCTAATGGAACTAGACGTTCCCCAAGTTCACATCTGTGACCCTCTGGAGTTTATCTTCCCTGCCTGTCAGTCTCCTCTCTTGATCGATAAATGGTTCTGTTTACTCTGAGCTGTAGCACTGTCCTTTTCCTGCATGTGTTTGAGTGAGTGTGCTATGTGTGTGTGTTTACAAAAACACCTGTAAATGCACTTTAATTCTATGTAAGATTGGAAAAAAAGAACCTGTTGAATTCACTTGTTGAATACTCCACAAAACTGTGCTAAACTCTACCGTCCAGTATAAACGATCGCTATCTACATTGATGTTATTAGTTTATTAACCTTACATCTTACTTTGTTTTGAAAAGTCTGTTGTAGGGATGATTCTGCAACAGCCCCAATTTCCGCTCGAGGGATAATAATCTATCTTTCTATTAAGATTCTTGTCAGAGCCACAGCCAAACTGTGAGCGGCTATGGAGTATTTTCAGCTCCCTGGTGCTTTAGCTGCAGCGTAAAATTTGATTTGGGTGTTTAAGTAAGGAGGTCGAGGCCTCCCTTTGTGTGTTTAGTATCCTCTTCTGCCGTTTGTGCGGGGACTGTGTGGGAACAACCCTCTCTGAGTCCACTCCTGCGCCAGCCTTAAAATTGATCCACAGCGGCGTAAGAGCCTTGTTTGAAAATGTCAAAGATGTGGATGCAGTGATGGGTGAGCACAGAGAAAGAGAGAAGTAAAGTGAATGGATGAGATGGAAGGGACAGGTCCACTTTTAAGAATGACCAGCAGCCCCCCATTCTCCTTAGCTTGGCACCCCACACCCCCTTCCCCAAGCATCTTCTTCAGGTGCCTTCAGCCTCCCATCTCCTCTCCATGTCAACCTCTTCAACTCCCCCATCCCCCTAGCTCTGTGCCCTTCAGGCCGTGGAGGGAGGGGATGAAGGGGTGCTCCCCTGCTGTGCCCCTCCACAGCCCCCAGTGGCCCTTCTCTGGACCCCTTTGTCCCCCCACCCCTTCTCCCTCCCACCCTTCATTCCCCCACTCAGCCCCTGGCCCTTCAGCCCCCATCTCACCCTACAACCCCCCCCCACTCCCCTGCTGGGCAGGTGACAGGCCCCTGAATGCGGGCCCGGGCGTCCCTGATGGCTCCTACAGATGGAGCGTGGTAATCGGCCCAATAGAGCCCTGCCACAGGCTTTTCCCTGCTAAGATACAAAGGCTTGGCCACATCACTTCCAAAAAAAAAAAAAAAAGACAGAGAGTGGGAGAGGAAGAGAGCAAAAGAGAAAGTACAAGCCAGAGGATGACAAAAGCAACACTGTCATTTGCCATTAAAGGAGCGTCTGTGACGGAGTGTTTTCTCTGTAGTTACTAATAATAAAAACAGGGAGGGCAAAAAAAGAGGGAAAGACAGAAATAAAGGGGGCTAAGGAGGAGAGATCCACCCCCACCCTGCAGTTAACGTGAGTTACAGTGCCAATGGGGAGCTTTCTCCTCTGAGGAGTTTTATGAGCTCTCCTTCCCTCCCTCAGGAATCTTTTCATTTCTGCGCTGTCATTGGTTCTCTCTCTGTCTTTTTCTTTCTTTCTCTGTTTCTCTGTCATTAAAATGGTAATGACATTGCATGTTACTTAGCCTGCTGTTACTAGTCTTCTCCTTCAGTGTTGCTTATCTGCTGATTAATGGAAGTGGCACTTACTGATCCCAACAATACTCACGTTTAAAAGTGTTCATAGGAAAAGTGTCAAGTTATATTTTCATGCTGTGTGGCCTTCTCCTTGTGCCTGTTGTATTAGAAAATCTGCTCCAACTGGCCACATCCTTACCTAAACAAACCACATCCAAAACTCATAGTGCACGTTCCAGGAGTATTTAAGCATCCAGCCAATACTCTGTGAGCCTTTATGCCAGCGTGGCACCCTTGGTTCAAATGTAATAAAGAGCTCTTCTCACCATCAGAATCTTGTGTGCTGGCAGTCCCGGAGCACAGCAGCATTCCCAAGAAGCAAATCCGTGTGTAATGCCTGGTCAGACACACACTGGCAACCGGCACAAACATTTCCTGCTTTGGCTCCAGAGGCTCCAGAAGCAAGGGGAGATCCCTGCTACCCCCCTCCATGTCTGACTTGGCACTTTTTAATTAAAGCTTTAAATCTGGAGGGCAAAGGGAGAATGAGCAGTCTGGGGAAACAGACTAGCCTGAGTCCTCTGCTGAAGCCTTTCTGTGGCTTACACCTGTCTCTCTGCTTTTGACTCTCTTATTCCTTCTCTCTCAGCTTAGGTGTGGCTGCATAGTCTGAGTGTCGAAAAGGTGCAGTGAACTTTCCTCATGAGGTTTAAGAGGTCCCTCTGGGGTGGATTTGAGAAGTGGATTCCAACTCTTTCTGTCTTGTGTCCATCTGTGTTTGACACATTGTCATGGACTACGTTCATTGAGTGAAAGCCTGTAGCCGAGACGCAGCAGATGCATGTTTGTGAGTGTGCGTATGACTGAGAAAGAGATGGGGGATTGCAGACATGTAATGGCGGACAAAGGCAGGCTGTCACGCTAGTTTGTGGAGCCTAATCATTATTTAATAGATGGGTAACCTCCCCCCAAAACGCAGCAATGGTCCTCTGTCTCTAGTCTCAAGCCTTCATTGATTCCCTTCTTCTGCTGAATTAGATCCCAATAGCTGTCTCCCAGTTGCCCAGTCACTCTCTCCTGCCCTCAACTGAACAAACAGATTAAGAAGCACCTGCAAAAGGGCTGCCTGCTCTTCACTTTGGGACCCTATCGGTATAGTGCACAGCATGGCTAAGACTGGGAGAGACACAGTGTCCCAGGGAATAGATGCCCCGGAGGGATCTAGTCCTCTTTAATCCGTGTTCAAGCAGCTTCTGGCTTTTGATCCCCTTAGGAACCACTGAGGAGTTTAAGGGAGCAGGAGGACACAATTTAAAGTTGCTCTGTACCATGTGTTGTCCTTAGAATAATCTATTGTCTCGGGTCTGTCTATTGTACCCAAGCTTAGTATTTACCCCAAATGTTCATTCTGTACCAGCCTGACTCATCTGAAGTAACCGTCTTGTTTGTTTTTTCAATTATAGCCAGCCACTCGGACGAGGGCTCCGACGTGGACTCAGAGCCAGGCCTGCCTCTGAAGAGGAAGCAGCGCCGCAGTCGAACCACCTTCACAGCAGAGCAGCTCGAGGAGCTGGAGAGGGCATTTGAACGCACGCACTACCCCGACATCTACACACGGGAGGAGCTGGCTCAGCGTGCCAAACTGACGGAGGCTCGAGTTCAGGTTAGACACATGCCCTCTTTAACCTTGACGTCCCGGAGACCCCGATATTGACAGCAGAGCAATGTGTCCGTCCGTCATGGATATGTGTCATGTGGGCGTTAAATTGCCTTGGGATGTTGCCACACATTCCTGCCCCCATGTCTGACCCTCCTTCTCCACATAAACAGACACAGACACCACAGATACACAGCACCCACTGTGTATGAAGACAGATTCCCATTTTTGTCAGACTCTCCGCAGAAAATGGGCTATGTAAAGATCCCAAAATAGATGCCTGATTTAGATAGTGTGCTAATATAGGCTTTAACAGCTGTAACAGCCCTCTGGCGTCTGCCCCTGAACCCAGTGACTTGCAGTAGCACATAAAGATGTAAAGTCTGTGGTTTCACTGCAAGCTCCAGATGTTAAGATCTCTATCAGTTCAGCTCCCTGTAATGGGCCAGGGAGACCTTACACACACACTCTCTCTCACTGTCCGTATACGTACCGTACAAGTGAACCCATTCTATTGAGTTAGCAGATAAATAAACACTAAACACTCTTGTCTCTGCTCATCTCTCAGGTGTGGTTCAGCAACAGAAGGGCCCGGTGGAGGAAGCAAGCAGGAGCCAGTCAGCTGATGGCATTTAACCATCTCATCCCTGGTGGTTTCCCTCCATCCGCTATGTCAGGCCTACAACCCTATCAGCTGTCTGACAGCCCCTACACTCCTACTTCTATAGCTCAAGGTGGGTTCAGCTGAACACACCCAAACATACTTAAAATGTATCCTTTAAAATTGTGGCACAGAATCTGGAATTATCTTATAACAGCACCAAAATGATTTAAAAATGGGATTTTAAGGTGAATGTTTTATTCTCTGCAGCATCCGAGCAGCCCAGTACAGTCCACCGACCGCAGCCTTTGCCCCCCACCTCCGTGCACCAGAGTGGGCTCGGCTCGTCAGCAGGCTCCCAGGATGGAGGCTCTGCATACTGCCTGTCTTCTGGACGTCACGGGTTCTCAGGATACTCGGACAGCTTTGTGACCGGGGCAGGACACACCAACGCTGTCAACCCCACCATCAGCAACAGCCTCTCACCACAGGTCAGTCTCTACATCTGTTCTTAACGTACGACACAGAAGTACTAGAAACGCACTAAATCTATGAATATCTGCAAACATCTACATACACACATCAATTCTGTTTCAAACACACAGACAAACCTATCTTCACACGTATGTTGTCATGCCATGGAGCAAGGCAACGATAGTTCTTCATGGCGTTTACGAAATGCACCATATGGAAAGCTAATGATACACACGAACACACACTCCTCTGTGTGCGACCTACGAGGTGTCATTGCAGTGACATTGATGAAAACCTTGTTAGGCTAAGAAACACGGTAGCTTTTCATTTTTGTTTATTCTGATGGGTTGTTTGATGAATTTAAAATGTGGCAAACGTCAGTCTTTGGGGATGGAAAAGGGACCAGACATGAGGAAGGATGTATGGATGTTGCATGATGACACAAATCAAAACTGAAAAGACAATTATGGCCGATTACACAGTCATCAGTGTCCATCAGTGGCTCCCTACCAGCCCAGAAGATGGACTAACAGGCGGAAAACGAGCTTTTAACCGCCACAAAGGGTGGCCGGCCCACATGCAATGCATGCTGGGTACTAATTCCCATGAGAGAGAATCTCAGACTCCTGTCAGGCACAGATAAAAAACTGCCTCAGGCAGGTTTGTTACTATGTGAATGCCTCAGGATGTATATATATTGAGAAAAAAGATCTTTGTTGTACCTGCCAGGGTGCATGGTCAGAAAGTGGTAGGTGGCACCATTGTGGCTGAAGGTATAATTGACTGCTTTGATATATGAGCTCTAGTTATGGACTTGAATGTGTTGTTTTCTTCTCAGAAACAGCCACATTTACTTTCAAAACATTATTCTTTGGGGTATTTTTAATGTCACTGGACAAATAAAAGTCTAGAGAGACAGGGGAGAGTGAAGATGACAAACTGCGAGTGTGGCTGATGAGCTAATTTGTACTTCAGTGAATGACTTTGAGCATAACTGGCATGCAAACCTGCCCTCCTGTAACTGAGCGGATTGCTGTGGTGTGAGTTCACACACCCACAGGGTCACAGAGTGACTTTAACTCCAATAAAGAGGCCAAAGGTGCCATGGCCTCATGGATGGTTTCAGCATTAACCTTAGTGAGCAGCTCCGTACAGAATGGACATCTCATCTCGTGCCTGGAATGTTTTCTCAGTCTGGAATTGCAATCACAGAATGTTCCAGTGTCTTAATTGATTGGAATGAAGTAATCTATCCCCTTGTAACAAAGTGTGTAATTTATGCAAATGATTCACTTTGTTGGCTAATTTGTTTTAATTCATGTATTCATTGCAGCTGGTTGAATGTATATTGCAATACAGTTTTCTCTATTTCGGACGAGGATAGAATTAATTCCCTGATTTTAACTTAATAACAGGGAGGAAATGAGAATTGATTAAATTCTATGACATTGATAGTTAATACACGAAGACCTGTCTGCACTTAGAAAACTTTACGGCTTCAATTTCCTCGGATAGCTACACAACTTGCTCCATTTTGTGTTAAATCCTCCCTGGAATTATCTGGCTATCTGAACTCCAAATCTGTCTATAAAAGCCACTCAACTCTATCTGCTTTTCTGTATCCATCAGGAGATTCAGAGGTTCAGTTGAATCCAGATATGGTCACATTAGAGCACAGTGGAGTTTTGATATGGATAAGGTTTACTTTAGATAGGTGATATTCTTGTCTGAGCAGTTAGCTCTGTATTCTGAGCTTCAGGCAGTGGTTTCCCTGTGGTGCGAGATCTCTGGCGTCTCGCTGCTGATCTGGTGCATACCAAAGGAACCCTTTCTCACCAAGGAAGCGAGCGGCCGGGATTTGCACCCCCCTGAGACCTAATCCCCGGAACAACCTCAAAACAGACACCATCGGGAACTGCTGCCGTTTCAGTTGCAGACAGAGTGTATGAGCGTGTAGATAGACACAGACCCTTTGACACAAACATGTACTCACATACCACTTATACTATTGTGTGTGTTGCGTTGGAATACACAACATGTGTGATACACTGGAAAACTAGGAATAGCCATGATATTTAAGTGTTTATATTCATTAGCAATGATTTAACTAATCAATATTTAAATAAACAATACAAATTCTTCTGACACTTTAAGGACACATTTGACTGTTTTAAAGCAGCATGAAGATAAGGTTTTTTATGCACCTTAAATATATAAATACTCTCATTTTTATGGGCTCTGTGTGCAACAGACTTATGTATTTTACAGTGTGTCATACATCCTTAGCAGTAAAAGAAATAGTGTTTTGGTTGTAGGCCCCATTGATGTGTTCTTCAGATGTGTGAGGTCAGATTACTCTGACAGGCCAACTGTAAATTACATACATTAAAGACACCTACGTACGCCTTAGTGTGTGTACATATGCATGTGTGTGTGCCAGCTGGCTGTCAGTTGCGTCTTTCCGGGTTGCTTTCAGTGTTTGGTTTTGCATTCTGCTTTAGCTCTGTTTTCTCCTATATGGACTGTAACTCCTGTTCTCCCTTTAACTTCATTTTTTTAGACATTTTCATGACCTTGCTTCTCACGCAAACCTGTGTGCAGCTGTTCACAATGTATCACCGATACCCCCACACCCCTGACATCAGAGCAAAAAATGCTTATATTACACATGACCGTGCACAGACACACAAACACACACACACACACACCTACTGTTAAATACACAATTCCACACGTAGGAGAGGTAGCTCTCACACACAAACACACTCTACTCCTCGTTCCCACATACCCTTTGGCCTCTTCACCCTGGCCTCACAAGGACACGGTGATTTTAGGGCATCAAGAGAAAGCGAGAGAGGAAAAGAGACCATAACAGAAAGAGCATTGCTCTGAAGGGCCAATAAATCTATGGACATACAAATCTGTTTGAATTCTACTTATAACTAATTAAGAACAGATCACATTATATAAATTTATTGTTTAAATAATTTTCATATATTACGATTGGCCAAAGTCAAACTTAGGCTTATTATTTCTTATCTATCTATTCCATTTATGACACAAAGCTAGGCAAAATATAAGTGAATAAAATCCTGTGCATCCATACATTTGACAAGATAACTCTAACAGAACCATCTGGTTGGTGAAAGGGTTGAACTCTTTAGCCACCATCAGCTCCTCAATCAGTCAGGCAGAGTAAAAGAAAACCACATGTGTGAGGGAAGCCAGTAATAATGTTTTTTTAACAATGAACAAGGAGAGAGGCCTACACTTTAGCCCACCTGAGTAGAGTGAAAAAATTGATTGAATCGCGTAATGTCAGATTTTGGTTAAAAAAAGAATCCATTTTGGAGTTTTTAAAACTACTGGTAACACTTTACTTTAGGGTGGGACCAGTTTACTTTGTGACATTTTGAAAATCTTTTTGACTTTGATTTGATTTGATTCTGTTCTTTAATCATCTGATTTGCCTCCATGTGTCCCCTCAGGTAATGGGTCTATTGAACCCAGGTGGAGTGCCACATCAGTCCCAGAGTGACTTTGCCCTCTCTCCACTGACCGGAGGGCTGGAACCTAACAGTGGCATGGCTGCCAGCTGTCATGGCTCCCAGCGCCTGGAGGCTATACCAGGTCTGACCAGTATGCCCACCCTGCCAAGCACCCAGTCTTACTGCCCACCTTCCTACACCTCACCAGCCTACGCCATGGACCACCATCCATCCTACCAGTATGGACAGTACAGTCAAAGCAAGGTATGCTGGAAATACAAAATTTTCTTTAAGATTTCTAAGAAGTTTATTTACTACTCTCTTAGACTTTCATTTCTATATTTCAATTTAAATGATCGATAATTGATTTGAGCGGTTATGTCCTTCTATAACCCCTGCTCTGGCTATGCAATTTAGTTTATATTTTCAAGTTAATTGCGCAGTCCCCTCTAATGAGCGAGCTTCTCAAATCACCCTGCGCTGCACTGAAATTACATGTCTGTTAGGGAGCACTAGTGGCCAGGTTACCTCAGTTTACATTACCATCAAGGGGCTATCCACGTGGCCTGATGGAGGGGCATGTCCGGGTCTTATCCCGACACACACATTTTTTACTCACTGTCCTTTCTTGACCCCGTATGATGAGCTTGCCCATCAAACCCTCAGTGTAGCTCACCTAGCCATGTAATGACCCCTGTGTAACAAAGATAGCCGCCCAAATGAAAGGAGCCACTTCCTAAAGCATGTTTGACAGGAGGGTGGGGGGGGGGTAGCGCCGGGCACGGCGGTGTGTTGCTGGGGCTGATCTGAGGTACACTACCACATGTTGACTGGGCCCATCAGTGGCAACATCTTGATGTCATTAATTTAGCCAGTCCTGGGAGAGACCCACATGTAGCTTTTGGGGGTTTGGTGAAATGTGTGTATGTGTGTGTGTGTGTGTGTGTGTGTGTGTGTGTAAAAAGAGGGTAAGGGGCTCTTTAACAGGGGGCGATTATGGCCCTTGGCAGGCCAGGATTAGAACCATGTGTCCCACTGGAGGTCAGATTTAGAGTTGTTATTGATCAGTGGAGCAGAGCCAGAGATCCAGGCTAAGGCTCAGTCTCAGGCTAGTTTTACTGACCACATTAGGTTCAAAGAATGTCAAAGGAGATTCCCAAAGCTCTTCACCTGTTTTTTGAGTTTTATTATTCAACCTAGGACCCCAGTTTCCACTCTCACCTGCTCTTATCTGCTCTTAAACACCCCCTCCTTCTTTCACAGTTCTTCCCCTCTCATTTAACTTCACATTCTTTGCTGTGTTGTCCATCAGAGGTTTTAACCAGTTGAAGCTGAATAAAATGAACCTCCCATTAACCTTCTATCTTTCCCTCTTCTCCTCAGGTGCCTTTCATTATATGAAGTCCCTAACATTGCCTGAACAGGAGGCTTCCAGGCCAGTCTGACTTTCATCGCCAGAGAACACCCCCCCTCCACCCCGTGCCTTTGCCAAACTTTCCCAGCCCTAAGGACAGCGAAAGAGAGTTTGGGCGGGTGAAGGGGTAGAGGTTGTTCTCCTTCAGCAAAGGGGGAACCAGTTGATATGGAGGTGTAGTGATGGCGATGGAGGGGGTTGACTGGAATAATTAGGACCAAAAGGCACAGCCTCTCCTGTTACCTGGCAGTCGCCTTGCTTGTACGTCACGTCATGCTCCGAGAAGACGGGTGGGGAAACGGGAGTAAATACATTCAAAGTTTTGTATTTGATTTTTGTGATAAGTGGCAGAGATGCAAGTTGGGGTGGACTTGGTGAGCCCCATGTGCTTCTCTTCATCACAATGTCTTAGGAACAGAATATTTACTGTATATTGATGTGATTCTTGTGTAAGACATTGGAGATAAAAAAAAAAATTTGACTACACCGGGAAGACCAGCAGAGAGGCATGAATCGAGGCGGAGTGGAGTAGTGAAACCACTGCAACCCAAAGAAAGTGCAATACATTCATACCTCATGTGATGTAAATTAACACAGATCAAATGCCCCGATTATACCCTCAGAAATATGCTCTGTCTTTTCAATGTCTTTAAGTTTGGGTTGTGTGCATTGATCAATCAGGGGAAATCATCAAGCGATGAAAAAATAGCAAACGTAGTTGTGATGTCATGAAGCCAAAAAATTCTCTGCCAGTGAATACATAATTCAGTTTGACAGTTAATTTTTATTTTGTTTTTTTGCATGTGTTAAATTAGTTTTCAACAGGAACTTGCAACCATTAGTTCCATTTCTTATTTATTTAGTGTTGTTTAAGTGTTATGTCTCCTCTTTGCATCCTGTATTAAGCACTCTTAAGTGCTTAAGTAAGTCTTACAAAATGTTCATTATACATGTTTCTTTTTGTATAATTTTCATTTACATTTGTGTAAAATGATTTTGTTGTAAGGAGTTTTGTGTACAATACAGCACTATTTACTATTTATAATAAACTGTATGAAAATGCAGAAAGTTGTGACTTTGAGTGGGTGTCATTATGGGATAACAGGGTTGTAGCTGCCATTGAGAAAATTGAGGTCTTGCCCTCATTGTTTTTCTGTTTTTTTTTTTGTTTTCGCAACCCGGGAGGAATTTACAGTCTATAATTAAAAACTGCTACATAGAAAATATGTTATAAGCTAATTATAGCATTTTTAGACTCTGTTTACATTACATGGATTTTAGGCATCAAATAAATAAAGCCTTCTTCTTGGCAGTGTGGAGAAGGTTTTTAAACAACATTTAGGAAATGTGAATTAAATTTATAGTATAATTTATATATTTAAATTATTATAATTTATATTTTTATAGTATAATTGTTTAGGAAACCAAATTAATTAAAAAAATAATAAAGTGATTAAAAAATTTGAGGCCTTTTCTGGTCAAACAACAGAGTAGTGAGTAGTGCCTTGGGGGACTAAAGGCATCAAGTCAGTATTTGTTAAATCTTGTCTATGGAGCTGGGATTTACTTTTTAAACTAGAATTTATCTATCTTACTTTCTTTCTTTCTTTCTTTCTTGCCAGCTGTTGATGAGGAAGATAGTGACACTACCTACGCTCTGCAAGTTGCATCCCTTGTGCACCCTCCTGGAGCATTAAATCATAAATATATCCCCTTTCATAAACACTCCTTTTGGACAAATTCCTGCTCCCTAGGGGCTCCTTCACACCCCTTAATGACTAAGGCAGAGCTGCTATAAATTATATGAGCACAGCGGCCCACAGTCATACCAGGACATCACTCACTGACATAGCTGTACAGGGTTCAGAAGTGTTTTGGCTATCGCTGCCAAACACAGACAAAAACAGTGTTCACCCAGTTGGCAGACTCCTCAAAGGTTACAGATATCACGGCCGCATTTTTATCACCTTGTCTTTTTTTCTCCTTTCTTTTCTCTCCGGTTTAGGGATCATGTATGCAGCTGTCCGTGTCATTCACAGTATATGTATAAAGTAAGTGTGCATGCATGAGAAAACACTGAATGTTTGTTTTTTAATATGTTTTAAACATTTCCGTGTGCATGCATTTGTGTGTTAGCATGTCTGTTTGCGTGTTGATGCTCGGTGCGACGCAGAAAACAGATCATATCAAGGCAAGATCACATTACTCTTTTTTCTTTACTCTCCACAAACTTTTCTTTTTACAAGTGCTCAAGTTGTAAGACACAATGAGTGAAAAAGCCAAAGGGGTTGCTTTGGAGCAGAGTGTCAGTCATGCAGCAACACACTGGAGACAACTTAACCTCTGACCCCAACACTCTTTGAAATGAGTAGACTACTTGACCGGAGCTGACAACAATCCAAGCGTCTCTGCAGCTTCCAAGACCCCAAATTGAAAGTGAAGGAAGGAGCACAAAGAGAGGACGGACTGAAAAAAAAAGGTTTCAGATATAGGAAAATAGGAAAAATAGTTAAAAGGGAGCTTTAGAAAAAAAGTTGAGCCAGAATGTGCTTGGAGAATTGTAATCTTAGAGTGTATGACTGATTCATTTTGGATCAAAATGAAAAAAAACATTCCGTACAAATCATTCTGAGGTCACAGTTGTGCTTTTATGTTACTTTGGCTGCATCCAATAGGGCAGAAAAGGACTGGGCTTTATCTTTGAAATACCACCTTATCAAGTCTCTTGAAGAGTGGGTGGATGACTCACAGCGTGCCTTTCCTAAAGTGGTGAGTGCCTGCCTCTCACACTTTCCATCTGAAGTCCCTTCTCAGTCGCCCTGGTCCCTTGTCTGTCTAATATTTTTGGTTTATTTTGTTTCTATCAAGATCCTCTACTCAGTCCGACTTCCACCTTTAATTTAAGTATGAAGCACGTGAACCGGACCCTCCTGCTTCCTCTTCTCTCCAGATGCCAGCAGATTCTGGAGGACACTGGTATCGACATCAGTGGACAGCAATTCAACGTGACTGTCTCCAGCAGCACAGAGAGCCCTCTGTCCGGCATCAGATCAGCGTCCAACATCTCCAACTCCAGGGAGACTTACGACAATGCTTACTTTTACATCCTGTTTGTCATGGTCTTCTACTCCTTCCTTGCCATGACACTTTTCAAGTGCTTAGGCAGCGACGAGGAGAAAAAGGACCCCTATGAGGAGTTCATGAGCACTGGGCAGCCGTCAACACAAAAATTCAACACAGGCCACATGGTGGAGAAGTTTTACTTTGAAGAAGAGAGCAGCCTGTGAGCCACAGGCTTTCTGAGGAGAAGGAGGGAGGGCATGCATGCATGGGGGGGATGTTTTGACAGTCACCAAGCCAGAAAAACGTCAGTGCGGACTACTCAGGCAAGACCTGCTAGTGATTTTGCAAAACCTGTAGTAAGTTCATTTTTCCCCTTTTTTCCCCTTCCATCTGACAATCAGAAATCTCACGCAAAGCAGGCAGGCCGGCAGCCGGCGGGAGGAGACGGCTTCCTCTGATGATCTGAGAGAAGGGTGGAAACATGGAGAAGTGTGGGTCAATGGCAGGCCGGAATCTCCTCCTGTGAGGCCCAATCAGGATCAATAACACCGGGGCCTTCGACATGCACACACCACAGGGAACCAGGGATACCTCAGCAGACTGATGGTGTGGACAACATGGACACTGTGTGTGTGTGTGTGTGTGTGAGAGACAGAGAATATTGACCTGCCATTGGATTTTCCATTCTCTGAATTCAATTTAACTCCACTGAACATGCTGAACAAATTAGATAAGGGTTATTATTTTACTGCATTTAAGGCACACACATTTACAAGCATTTATATTAACTTTGCATTTTAAGGATTTTTATACATACCTTTCTAAACTGTTTATTTAAATCTGGACATACAGTGTGATTCTAAGCTGTGTCATTTTACTCTATAAGATGTACAATAATTCGCCCCTTTATTGCAGCACCAACTTTTAAACTGCAGCCATATGCCTTTAAAATGTAAATGCACGCAAACAATGTTTCTGAATAAAATAAAAAGACATCCCACTCTCAAATTGGTTCCAATTAGGGCCAAAAGCTCCGTGCAATAGCCGGGACTGAGCGACATTCCTTTGCCATTACATTGTAACTGATCTTTGGAGACTGGACGCGCGGCTACAGGGCCGCTTCAACCTCTCGCTGACCCCACATGATCTAAGTTTACAAAGCTGTGGCGAAACGTGAACCCGAAACTCACTCTGCAGAATTAACTTCAATTGTGGGATCGCGGAGAGGAGCTTAAAGAAAACACACGCTTCTCATTTGCACCACACGTCGCCAGCGGTATACCTTTGCGCGGAAGAGGAGGGCCCTTCAGGTTAGGAGACCGAACAGGTACTGTGTGACCGCGCACCCACAACACACGCACCAGTGAAGGAAAGGAAAGAATAAAGAAGTTCATTTACATTTTTTTTTTTTTTTTGCTTTAAAGGGCTTCTGTGCAATTAAATCTCCGGGGTCAGAGGTGGGTCTGAACTGACAATGCTGGTCTAATTTGAACTATCCGCTCCTAGAGGTTATGCCGGTCCCCGAGGCCATGTGGACCTGTTTCCTCTTCTTCCCTCATAATTACATTTTTTGCCTCATCCTCCTCCCTTGAAGTGCTGGGGTCACCACGCGTGGATCCTACCTGACCAAACAACACCGCCCACATATTTAACTCTGACCAGATAATGCTGACTGAATAAATATGTGAGTCATTTTGTTACCTAAGGCCTGAAAATGTCGATGGAAATATAATCGCTATTTACATTTTATCATATGTATTTCATTAGCTATATTGTAGGTATACGGAATTCGGGGAGAAAAATGTTATTTTATTAATTTATGCATGCAATGTATTTGTAACTTAGTTAATAAAAACTAAAGGATTGCAGTGCGACTTAATTACTATTTTGTGCAAAAGGCTAAAAACCCTCATCAGCAGCATGATTTGCTGCAGCAGGGGCGGATCTAGAAAAATATTCATGGGATGGCAAGTGTAATGTATGCTTATTTAATCGTAAACAATCACATATATCAATATTTGTTTGGAGAAGTCCCCAAATGAAGATATTTGTACTAAAACATTAGATTATTGTGGCATATCAGTAAAACATTTAATATAAATATCTAAAGGTGCTATTTGAAATCAATAAATTGTTTTATTTACAAATCTTCAGACATTTTTCTAAAAGAATATAAGTTAATATGTCTTTTTAGTCTGGAATGTGGCATCAAAAGATCATTAAATTAATTTCCGTTTTTTAAATACATTCTTACTAAAATGAATCTAAATTCATATGTTGACAACATTTGAAACCAAACTGGGGTGGCCAGGCATATTAGAGCCACCATGCCACCCCTCTGCCCCTGCCCATGGGGGAATCTCCTCAGGAGCAGACACCTCCTACGTGCATCAATCAACAGTGAAAACTCACAATGAATTTTCACACGATGCTCCATGGGATGCATTGGGTGCAGTGGGACCGGTCACACAGATAATCCACTGGATGAAATTACGCTATTTCTCAGGTGTGTTTGATGTGTCTCATCTGCAGGGTGCAGCCTTCACAGCTCTGCTGGAGAGAAACTGAGAGAACAGAGAAACCACACACACTGAATACTCAAGGAAGCGTTGTATGATGGATGGTCTCTTGTGATACTGTAACTTCAAAGGCCAGTTTGCAAATGTATATGTACTAATACTAAATATAATCCCCACTGAGACATCTGAAGAGAGAAAGGCACCAAAGGAA